CTACTAGGGAAAAATCAATGGGTCATTTCTCTACATTATTCCTATATAAGCATGGAGCTTTGTTGAAATCTGAGTAGAACTTTCAAAAGGAAATTAATCATCAACTTTTGTGTAAGTATTTAAGGTTGCAACATAATTAAGGAGAGGTTAAGCATGGGTTTTAGGGGTTCAGTTGCAATTGTAGTTATTTTTTTGGCGATGGTTTTGGCTGTTGCTAATGCACAATATGGAGGAGGCAACTATGCTGATTCTTCTCCCTCAAAGAATATTGGCTCCACCAATTCTTCTCCAGCATTTCTGTTAGGATTTGTTGCTTTCATCATTTCTTTCTTTGTTATCAGGAAAAGTATTTGATTCGAGTCTCTCAGTTGCAACTGATTTGAAGATGTTTCCTTTGATGTAATTTTAATCTTTTTTTTTTTTCGCTTTTCTTTTTCTCATTGGTGTGTAATTATATACTTGTATGTTATTTTACCCTTCAGATTTTTCTCTTTCGATTGCTTTGTGGTTAGGGATTGTGTTTTAATCAGCCAACGTTATTTTATTTACTTTACTGGTTAATTAATTTACCTCCTTTTTAATACTAGCTAGCTAGGCTGTGAATTTGATGATGTGTTATTGTCATGTTATTCGTTAATTTTCAGCAAATTATAAACTTGGGTGTGCGTGGAATATTTTGTTGGCTGTTTCTATCGACTTAGGAGAACTATTTCTTGAAAGGATGTTAAGTTCCTTTAGTGGACTTCAAATATTTCTATGGCAACCTTGCATCAGACAAAAAAAATGTGGCCTAAAGCTTAAAACAAAAATGTCAGTGAAAAACATTCAAATTGGTACTAAATGGTTGGGCACACATATCATTAGTATAATGCCAATGAGAACACGTCAGAATTTTGTTTTTATAATAAGCTAATAACACATAGAATAAGTAATCAAAATTATTTCTTCCTTCTTTTTTCAACATTCAAAATTAGTAGTTCAAGTAAGAATAAATAATCATGATCAAGGTTGTTACAATGTATACAATTTAAATGAAACCGAAAATATTGGTTAACTCAACCAACTTATATTATATTGGCACTACTAGGGAATCTAAAGGGTCATTTCTCCACGTTATTCCTATATAAGCATGTAACCGAATAGAAGAATTAATTTAAATAGTCGTTCACATAAAAGAGTATATAATCAATGTATAATTTATGTATATCGTTTAGTAAAAGTAAACATTAAATTTGACAGGCTATTTGTGTAACAATCTAGCTTTAGGAGTTCTTGCTTTCATCATTTCTTTCCTTGTTATCGGGGAAAGTATTTGATTAGTCTTTCAGATGCAAACTCATGAAGTTCTTTAATTTACTTTTTTTAATCGTTTGTAATACTTTCTCTTTTCTTTCTATTTGGTGTGTATTATCCTTGCATGTTATTTCTTGTTTTTTTGACTAGAAGATAATTAATGAGTCTATAAAGTTCTTTTGTATTATACTTGTTGATTTCGCATGTTTTTTTGTTGTTGTTGATGTTTTGTGAAAAAAATCATATAACTACAATAACATTTGTAAAGGACTATAATATTAAATCTCCTCACAGTTCCCCAAAAGTAAGCTCCGATTAAGAGTTAACACTGGTTCTTCAGTTTTTTACAAGTTTGAAAGTTGTAAGTAATGCATGTCGATGCTCAAACGATAAGTATAACGTACAATATAACGTCCATTTGGAAACAGCTAGTTATAGGTATATTAATCAACGTCCATTTACACGACTAAGGTTGTCATGAAGTTCAATGTAAAGCAATATGTACAGCAACTTTTGAACTTTATTGTAAGCTAGCTGCCATGCATGCTTATTGCTTATCTAACAATTTTCCTGGGCTTCTGCTTTGTAAAACTTTACCTATATCGGTGTTTATACCAAAACATTATTAACTAATTACCTTAATTGAGATGAAAATGTGTGTTCGTTAATTACTCATTGTTTAGTAAAACATGAATGTACGTGAAGACACACATTATTTATATTTACTGAGTTCTTTCTTTGGTTGTTTCATTCTTTGTGATCAATTAAGGAAATTGTGCCATGATATGTAATCTTCATTAGATTGTTGTGCTTTCAATTGTGTGATCATTCTTTTGAACATTTAACTCATTGTGTTGAATATCCCAGCTGATTTGGGCAACACCAAACCAGTTAAAACGTTACCTCCACTCGCATTTCGTCAACGTATAGTTCGATAACAACTTTAAGTGTCTTTATTCCCATACGAAGGATTTTGTGATAGACTACTTAGGCCTTCGCTACTCACTATTATGATGAGTAAATAGTTCAACATAATCCTAGCGACTTGAATAGAAAAAAAAAATTATTCTGCAAAGTTCTCTTGTATTTTATAATGGCCACAAAATCAATTAACCCGTACGATGATGCAGAAAAAAGGAATTAAAAAGAAACTGAAATAATTTGTTTGTTAATTAGTCGTGGACTGTGGTAGAGTGCTTCTAAACTGTTTAATAAGAAGACATAATTTGTTTTGTTAATGGGCGTCCATGATATAATAAACTAATCAGAAAGAGCCAATTTGACTCTATACCAGCGCAAATGCTAGTATCGATTCTTATTCTTCTGCTTAGACATTCAGTGTTGAGGGCACGTTTTTATCACACGTTGAAGTTGTCTTTTTTTTTTCTTTTTTTTTTCTGACTTTTCAAAAAAAAAAGTAAATGAAATCTTCAACCAAAAATTATCTTAACCATGAGTTTTAATAAATTATCTGAAGAGTTCTTTTGTCGGGTATGAGATTTAATTCTCAGTATAGTTACCCCTTTTTCTTCCTTCTGTTCTATCCCTCCCGATCTTCCATGAAAAAAAACCCAAAGAATTAGCAAAATATTAGACATCAGCAGCTAGCATCGGGATGTGATTTATATATAATTTTCTTATTGCTATTTGAAGTAAATTCAAGATATATTATAACTATACATTAGAAAACTAAGATTAATTATTTGATATTCTCGTTATTGTCGTACATTCATATAAAACAACAACAGCGACCCAGTAAAATCTCACAAGTGGGGTCTGGGGAGGCCGGGTAGAGTGTACGCAAACCTTACCCCTACCCCTGAGAGATAGAGAGGTTGATTCCGAAAGACCCTCGGCTCAAGAAGAAGAAAATAAACAATAGACAATGGGTCAGTGACAGCAACAAAAAGCCAGAAAAATAATATCAGCATCGTAAGAAACAGAAAATAGATGGAAAAACAATAATAATAACCAGTAATAATGCCATAGAAAATAGTGTGGAAACTACATAAACAGAGTGGAAACTACTGAAACCACTAACAACCCAAGGCAAAACATTACCAGCCTAGCCCCGCCCACGGCACAACGTGGAAAAACGCTCGATTCCCTCCTAACCTACAACCCTAATGCTCGACCTCCACACCTTCCTATCAAGAGCCATGTCCTCGGAGATCTGAAGTCGCGTCATGTTCTGCCTGATCACCTCACCCCAATACTTCTTAGGCCGCTCTCTACCTCTCCTCATACCTGCCAATGTCAACTGCTCACACCTGCTAACCAGAGCATCTACGCTTCTCCTCAGCACGTGCCCGAACCATCTAAGCCTCGCTTCCTGCATCTTGTCGTCCATGGGAGCCATGCCCACCTTCTCCAGAATATCTTCATTCCTAATCTTATCCAGCCTAGTATGCCCGCACATCCATCTCAACATCCTTATTTCTACCACTTTCATCTTCTGGGTATGAGAATTCTTGGCTGCCCAACACTTAGCCCTTTACAGCATGGCCGGTCTAACCACCGCTCTATAGAACTTGCCTTTAAGTTTTGGTGGTACATTCTTATCACACAGGACTGCAGATGCTAACCTCTATTTCATCCACCCACTCCTATACGGTGCGTGGCATACTCGTCTATCTCCCCATCCCCTATATAATTGACCCAAGGTACTTGAAACTTTCGCTCTTGGGGATGACTTGTGAGTCAAGCCTCATGTCTATGTCCACTTCCCCCGATGCATCGCTGAACTTACACTCCAGATATTCTGTCTTAGTCCTACTCAACTTGAAACCTTTAGACTCAAGGGTCTGTCTCCGAACCTCCATCCTCTCGTTAACGCCGCCATGCGTCTCATCAATCAGAACTATATCATCAGCGAACAACATACACCATGGCACCTTCCCTTGAATATGGTGTGTTAGTGCATGCATCGCTAAGGCAAATAAGAATGGGCTGAGCACAGACCCTTGCTGCAACCCCATAACAACCGGAAAGTGCTCTGAGTTACCTCCCACAGTCCTAAACCGAGTCTTAGCTCCCTCATACATGTCCTTTATCACCCTAATGTAGGCTACCGGCACACCTTTCCCCTCCAGGCATCTCTAAAGTACCTCCCTAGGCACCTTGTCATACGCTTTCTCTAGGTCAATAAACACCATGTGCAAATCCTTCTTCCTATCCCTATACTGTTCCACCAACCTTCTGATAAGGTGTATATCTTCTGTATTAGAACACCCGATATGAACCCGATTGGTTGTCGGATATAGACACTGCCCTCCTCACCCTCCTTTCCACCACCTTCTCCCAAACTTTCATGGTATGACTTAGTAACTTGATGCCCCTATAGTTGTTACAGTTCTGAATATCACCTTTGTTCTTGTATAGCAGAATCATCGTACTCCACCTCTATTTATCTGGCATCCTCTTCGTCCTTAAAGATAATATTAAATAGCGCAATCAGCCATTCCAAGCCTGTTCTACCCACACATCTCCACAATTATACTGGAATTTTGTCCGGCCCGGTCGCTCGGCCTCTACTCATCTTGCGCATAGCTCACGCGATCTCCTCAGCCTTAATACGCCTACAATACCTAAAGTCTTGGTGACTCCCGGAGTGCCTCATTTCCCCTAGAACAATGTCTCTGTCCCCTTCTTCATTCATAAGTCTATGAAAGTAATCCTGCCACTCCGCTTAATCTGGGCATCTTCCATCAATACTCTGCCTTCCTCGCTTTGATGAACCGCACGTGATGCAGGTCATGAGCCTTTCTCTCTCTCGCCTTGTCCAGCTGAAATAACTTCTTTTCCCCTCCTTTGACCCCTAACTCCTCGTACAGATGACCAAACATTGCAGTCTTAGCCTCCGCGACCGCTAACTTCGCCTCCTTCTTGGCTTCCTTATACCTTCCTCTCTTCGCTCTCCTCTCTTTCTCGTCTGTGCTCTCCACTAACCTAAGATACTCCGCTTTCTTTGCTTCCAATTTACCTTGGACCACGTCATTCCATCACCAATCACTTCGGCGCCCGCCAGAGTAACCCTTTGAGATCGCTAACACCTCTCTCGCCACCTTTGTTATACAGTCCGTTGTCGATGTCCACATCTGGCTAGCGTCCCCGCTACTCCTACAAGATCTCATAGACATCAACCTCCCCTCCAACTCCTGAGTTTTATCCCTCGTCAAGGCTCCTCACATGATCCTTGGTTGACCCCGAACAGACCTCTTCTTCCTCTTTAATATTATACCGACGTCCATCACCAAGAGCCTATGCTATGTCGCGAGGGTCTCAGTCGGGATAACGTTGTAATCCTCGCACAGTCATCTATCACATATCCTGAGAAGGAGGTAATCAATCTAAGTCTTAGCCACCGTACTCCGGAAAGTAATCAAATGCTCCTCCCTCTTTGGAAAACTAGAGTTCGCGATCACCAGCTCAAAAGCTCTAGCGAAATCCAATAGTGAAGTACCTCCTCCGTTCCTATCCCCAAGCCGAAGCCGGCATGCACCTCGCCATAGCCACTAACAGATGACCCTATATGCCCATTGAAATCCGCTCATATAAATAACTTCTCTACAAGCGGCGCACTATGCACCACCTCGTCCAGCCCCTCCTAGAAGCACCTCTTAACCTCCTCATCTAAGCCCGCTTGCGGCGCGTAGGTGCTAATAACATTCAAAGTGATCTCTCCAACTACTAACTTAATCGCCATTAATCTATCATCCATCCGCCTGACCTCTACCACCGACTCTCTGAGTTTCCTAGCCACCAAAATACCCACTTCGTTCTTACCCTTCTTGCCTCCCGAGTACCATAATTTATACCCGTCCGCATTCCTTGCCTTCGATCCTACCCACCTAGTCTCCTGAACACAAGCTATATTGACCTTCCTCTTCTGTAGAATCTTCGCCAACTCTATAGACTTACCCGCCAATGTCCCGATGTTCCACGATCCAATTCTCAACCTATGGGCATCCATGGTCCCCTTACCCCCTTTGGGCCCCGTCCATTCTCCTTATCTCCTGCCCTCCCCTTCAGGCCCTACCACCCGCCCACCCCGAAGACATGCCCTTATTCCACCATTACAGACACCATCTACTATACCTATGGTAGCCTAATGAAAACGCTAACAAAAGCAACAACGGTTCAAGCTTAAAGAAAAATAAGTAGTAACTATAGGACGCCACTAGAATAACTAAACTAGTACAAACTACTATGACACCAATATAACTAACACAAGAGGAAGAGAAATAGGGGCAGGAGGTACCAACTCCCGAGAATAGAACCTGGAGTTTCGAATTGATGTACACCCGAGTCTGTGTAGCCTGGCGTATTCCCTTCCAACTTCCCTCCGTCCCTTGTCAAAGCTCCCCGACATGCTCAGCTACGTTTGCGCGTGCGTCTCCCGCCTGTCTCCAAGTGCCTAAAAAATAGAACCTTAAAACACACAAAAACCATGGGGCCAACAAGAGTTGGGGGGTGTGGCAGGGCTGTCACCATACTACTATGACACAGGGGTGGTCTGACGACGCTGGACTAGACTGCTATCGCCAGAAAGAAAGATGAAGATGAAAAAAAGGAGGGGGGGGGGGGTTTGAAACTAGAAAAATAGAAGAAAAAGGGGGGCCTGGCAGTGACACAGCCGCCGGGGAGAAGAAGAGAAGAGTGGGGAGAGAAGAGAAAATAGAGAGAGAGAGGGGGGAGGGGGCTGAGACTGAAAAAATAGAAGAAAAAAGGGGGGTCGACGGCGGAGCAGTCGCCGGAAACGCTACGGCTAGGGTATATCTAAACGAGACTTTAAACTTATTTATCCAGTATATCTACGTTTTCCTATTTACAGAAAGTAACTATATGTTTTTACAAAATAAATACAAACCCGGTCAAATCTACAATTTATCTACAACTTAAATACAATATTTTTTTTGTACAAAATCCGATCAAAAATTACATTTACATACAATTTATATAAAACTTGTATACAATTATGTTAGTTGTATATATTTTATTTGCCGTTTCTACACTCGACATACAAAATATTTACAATTTGTTTATGTGTTTTTCATCGAGTTTCAATATGAAATTCCAACCAAACCATATCAAAACTTCACCAAATGCTCTCGAAATTGAGATATGAACTCCAAAGTATATATTCCCAATCATTTGCAACAACACCCAATCTAAACAAATAATAATTTTGCAAATTTTAATTTTCAAATTCATAGGTTCTAAGCTTTCTAATGGATGTCAATGGAGTTTAAGCTCATGTATCCACGGTCAACTTCAGTTTAGTTTCAATTATACTGTCAATTACTTTTAGCTTAGTTCCAAATGCCACTCCTATAGACAATGTCTTATTTATTCATCTAAAAATATTTTTGGTAACCCATTTGTATTGGTGCTTCACATATGTATTCTATGGCTTTGAACCAGTTGAATTATTTTTCTCCACCATTCTTCAAAGCTCCTAGCATGTTCACCTGCAAAAGCAGAATCGAAGAGGAACCGAGAGAAATATTTATATAGATAAGAAAAATAGAGAAGATTGAAGCCTAAAATGGTAAGATGAATCTAATATATTATTTTATATATAAATAGTAAATTGTATATGCTAATGTAGTAAAGTAATAACCTCTCTATGATTGGTAAATAAGTTTAATGTATTATGGATATATAGGTAAAAATTCCTTAATAAAACCTAAAAATAGAATCTGGGGACAGACATCTAATTATCCCTACAATTGAATTTTTCACTTGTATTATGAAATAAAAGTTTACTTCTTTAGTTGATGATAACAATTTATGCTATTGTAGTTACGCGAATTTAATTATTTTGCCGAGTCTTTCTTTTCTTTCGTCTTATACGGTAATGGACTAATGATTTATTAAACAAATAGATATACTTCTCTTTATCTACCAGTCAGGGAAGTAATAAACTAGAAATTGGGTTAGCATATTTTAATTTTTAAAGCGTAGAGGTAAATTACGATATTCCCATCGGATTTGTTTTGACATTGATTATTTTTCCTTAACAGTATCATTTCATTTGATAAAACTAATATCCAAACTTCATCATCTGATCTACGCTGCTTCTTTATTGTTCGCACGTTCTTAAGCACCATTAAGGGTGAGGCGTTTGGGCTTTGTTAATTCTTACAACTCCGTCAGTTGTTTGATTTTCTTTCTTTTATTAAACATTGAGCACTTATTGGTGTCATTGTACAAATATCATGTACATGTATTAATTAAAAATCAACTTAATTACCAGAATTGTTGAAGTGATCTCCACCATCTAACTACTTACAAAAAATGAAAACAAAAAGTCAATGAAAGAATGATAATACGAATTAGTCCATGAAAGATACTATCTTGAAAAAAATTTGTATATAAGTGTAGATTTCACAACATAGAATTACAACACAAACACTTCTTACACAACATTCTTCTTCTCACTAACAAATTGAAGGCTACATTTGAAACTTGAAAACACAAGACAATGGCTTTGAAAGTTTCAGCTGCTGCTTTCAACTTCATTGCTTGTGTTCTATTCATGGCGGCGGCCGTGGCGGTAGCCCATGAGGGCCACCACCACGCCCCCGCCCCGGCTCCGTCCAGTGCCATCATCACTTCATTCCCTTCACTGATGGTCGGATTCTTCGGTTTGGTTGTTTCTTTCCTTGTTATTAAGGAAAGGGTTTGAAGAGAAGTAAGAATAATCCATATTCATTCTTAATGTTGCGTTTATCTTTGTTCCTATGTTTTGATTTATCACGTTACATTTGAGAAGCCTTGTATTCTTGTTTTTTTACCCCTTTTGACGTTGTTTTTCAATTGTTCTATCAGGTCAAGTTATTTGTGCTCCATTTCTATTGTTGTGAAAGTACTTTTGAGATCATTGCGTTGAATAATATGTTGTGACGAGTCATTAATTTCGATGATTATTGTTGTATGACACAAAAAATAGATCTTGATTTTATACTATTAGATTTATTGAAAAGTAGAATTAATCATAGCCAATATTAATGTCCAATGATGGATCTAGTATTCTACGGTGAATATTTAATGAATAGCATTGAAGAAGACAACTTGGAAGAATAGTTGAGCAATTAGGACTTGAAAATACAAAGGAGAGCAATAAATGACAAAAAATGACTTTCAAACCGTAGATGAGACAAAGATAGCCCGACAAAGACGAGTTCCCCAAATATCTTTTTGATAATGATGGATGATGATGAACAATCATATATTCCGATCCTTCTTGGATCTGGAGAAGGGAATGATAGAAGGAAAGTGTAAAGTCAAGCTTTGTTTATATTCAATAGAGTGAGAATCTTGTACAAAGAATGTTGCTGAAATCTTTGACAAAAGGTCCAAATTCCCCTTTCTGATCTACATCTTTTCCTATTTATAGGAGCGCATGAGCCATAAAATCCTAGATAGTACAACAAAAGGGAATATCTCTAGAATATTCCCTAGGAAATCTTAATTCTAAGGCTGGCCATTGCTTCGTGTCTAGAATGAGAGCTCGTCCTCGTCCTCGTCCTCGCAATCTGCCAAGTCAGTTCGACCTTGGCACCGCTTTACCCTTCACCCTTGACCTCGGTCTTTTAGAGCCATCGCGATACGTCACCACTGTCGGGCTTTATTACAGTTGACTAGGTCAAATACGTCAAGTGAATTGAAGTTTTCACCCATACAATTGTCTCACTGCATCATGGTGTTGAGATGTGTGATTTCCTAATTTACTAGCTGTGAAGCTGTTTACTTTACCCAGGCTAGCATGTATGGTTTTTGTGACAAAATTAGTAGTTAGGTTTAACCCAAAAAAACGTATGTGGATGATTGAGGTCTGGTAATTGTAAGAAGAATTTCTAGTGTTTCGGCTTGCGATAGGTCAAACATATTTCTTCCATTTTCTTCTATCTCGATCTAACGGCTCATGAGCATCACTAAAGTGCATCCTTGGCACTGAATCATCTCTCATTTGATTTTCACCGTCGAATGAGTCAAGTGCATCTCCACCGTCGGATTAAGCTCTTGTTCTAACACTTAAATTGAATTCGAAATCTTAAATCTTACTGTCCTGATGAATTTTTCAGAATTTTCCTTATTCTAGAAAGATATAAATATCATCTCATTAATAAGATCTACAATGACTAAAACATCCCTCTAAAGTTCAAATCTAGTCGTTCACAACGCTAGCATTTGGCCATAGATCCCAAATTTATTTTGAAAAATCTGATTTGGGTGAAGTTTGGTTTGAAGATGAAAATGTGTTTGGACATACGTTTTCAAAATATATTTTCCAACTTTATTTTGGATAAACATGTATATAATTCCCAAGTTTTGGAATTTTGGCCCAAAATCAGCTCAATAGATGACTTTGGGATTTGGGATTTGGCCAAAATATGGGCAAAATTTATGGCCAAACATGAGTTTTGAAAATAAATCCCAAATTTATGTTGGTAAAACTCATGGCCAAACGGGGCCAACAACAACAACAACGACAATTCAGTATAATTTCATAAGTGGGATCTGGGAGAGCGGTATGTAGTATGTACGCATACCTTACCCCTACCCCGGTGGGGTAATATACTGTATCAGACAGACCCTCGGCTCGAGAAGACCAAAAAAGACAATAGATGAGTAACATCAACAGAGGCTAGAAAGATAACAATGGAAAAAGTAATATGAAGACAACATGAATCACTAGCAGTCTAAGATAAGACACTATCAGACTAACCTCACATCTAGTACGAAGTAGAAAAAACGCTCAACTACCTCCTAACTTTCAAACCTAATGCTCGACCTCTACACCTTCCTATCAAGGGTCATATCCTAAAAGTTGAAGCCGTGCCAAAATCTCTCAAAATTTCTCTTGGTGTTAGGTTATGGTTAGTATATTCCCAGGCTCACATGCAATGACAATAACTAATAAATTTATAACATAGACAAGAACAAGGAAAAGGGAGTTTTGCCATC